GCTGTCCCGGGAGACCCAGATGGTGTGCTGCCCCAGTTTCTCTTCCATCTTTGCTCCTCTAGAGGGTGCCGTGCACCAGTTTACACTGCCCTCCATGCTCCCGAAGGGCGCCAGCCTGCCAGCCGTGCGACGGTGCCACTGTCAGCTGGGTCCTCGGTAGCTGCAGGGATGGGGGTATCCCCTGGCCACCGCCCGCCTCAGGCTGGGAGTGATATGCCCGTCGGCTTACGTAGTGCACCAAACCATTGCCCTCTTCACGATGCTTCAGCTCGGCATCACGTTCCAGATCTACACCAGCTTCCGGTCCCACGCTCTCCTCCATCGGCAGCTCATTCCCGCAGGAGGAGCCTGGAGCATCCACTGATGCTCACCACTAGGAAGTTCCTATTTCAGTCTCCTCCCTGGAACACCACAGTCATATTCATTTTTATCATAAATTGTGTCATCCTTCTATCCATCCATCATCCATTCATCATCCATCCATAATCCTTCCATCCATCCACCATCCATTCATCATCCATTTATCCATCCATCATCTATCCACCATCCATCCATCATCCATCCATCCATCATCCATCTATCCAGTCATCATCCATCCATCCATCCATCCATTCATCCATCCATCCATCCATCCATCCATCATCCATCCATCCATCCATCCATTCATCAATCCATCCATCCATCCATCCATCCACCCACCCACCTCTCCTTCCACCAGTTATCCATCCATCCATCATCTGTCCTTCCATTGACCCACCTTCCATCCATTCATTCATCACCTACCATCCATCACCCATCATCCATCCATATGTCCACCCCCCATCCCCCACCCATTCTCTATCATCCATCCATCATCCATCTATTCATCCACCATCCATCCATCTATCCATCCATCATCTGTCCTTCCATTGACCCACCATCCATCCATTCATTCATCACCTACCATCCATCACCCATCATCCATCCATATGTCCATCCATCATCCCCCACCCATTTTCCATCATCCATCCACTATCCACCATTTGTCATCCATCCACCCACCATCCATCTATTCATCCATATCCCTTACCTTGCTTCCTGTCCCTCTCATTCCCTCCCTCATCCATTCATCAATTTTTACACCTTAATAGGGGTCCTCAGGCAGACTTTCAGCATCACCCTCATCCAGGTATCTTGAAAAAATGTGTATATTCCCATGCCCTGCCCCTGAAGCATTCTGCTTCTGCAAGTCTAGGGGAGAGCTGATACCCAGACCCACTCCCTTCTTCTGTGCTGGGGAGATGGCTCCCTGCACCTGTGGCCCATCTCCTTGGGACCCGTCGCCCTGTAGGCTGGATGGGTCGCTTTCCAACTGTGACGTTGGGGGCAGATTTCTGAGTGGCGCCTGGCACACATCCCAGGGCAGGTGCATGGAGCGAACCTCAGCAGGAGGTCCCTCAGTTCCTAGTAGGTGGCCGTGGGCTGTGGGGCCTGTGACTGAGAAGGGTACTTCCCAGGGGTCCCAGGGCCATACGGCGAAGGTGACCCAAAGTCTGCATGTTGAGGGGTCTGGAGGGATCTCATCTGAGAAGCGGTGCTTTTATGTTTTTGATTTTAAAAAAAATTCACCATAGCTAAGATCTGGGAACAGCCTAAGTGCCCATCTGTAGATGAATGGATTAGGAAACCGTGGTACATCTACACGATGGAATACTACGCTGCTGTAAAAAAGAAGGAATTCTTACCATTTGCAACAGCATGGATGGAACTGGAGAGCATTATGCTAAGTGAAATAAGCCAGTCAATGA